ACTGTGTAGGAAAGGCTTTTGTAGAAGAGGTCAGAGCTGAATCAAACTACTAGTTGAAGTTTAGTGGTGGTGATGTTGAAGTCATGTGACTGTGGTGTAGTTGGTTTATATTCTAACATTAGCTTTTTACTTCTGCTGATTGTATTTATGCTTCGAACATCATAAAGTGATGTTCATTAGTGAAGATGATCCTGCTGAACTAAACCTCAGGATCAGAAACTGTTGTTTATTTTCTCTAATAATCCAAAAGACAGTGTTAAAATCCCACTGGCTTTTTGTGGAGGGAACCAGGGTGACGCTAACTTCCTGGTTGGCCTACAAAAATACGTCATCCCTGCAGCACTGTGTTATCCTTCTGCAGCAAGCTAACACCGCCTGACAGCCATGCACCATCTGAACCAAAGAAAAGAGGGAACCGGATACGTTCTGCAAAACCAGATTGTCAGACAGCAGACGATCAAAACAGTTTAAACCAGCGGTTCCCAACCTTTTCCAACTCATGGCCCTGTTGAAAATCTCAAAAATGTTGGCGGCCCACATCGGACCCCTGACAATACAAGAATACAATGTGATCCAGCGGCGAAGTGGTCCAGCCAGCGACAGTTTAAAAGGGTCTATCATTTGCTGATGACAGTGATAAGCCTTAATAAGAAAAAAAATATTTAAATATTTTCAAAGTTGTTTAACATCATTTCATTTTAAGACATTTAAAAACTTGTATTTAATGTTTTTAAAACTGTTTTGCAAATACCTTCACAACCCGCCAGTGGGCCGCGGCCCACGGGTCGGGAACCACTGGTCTGAATGATGGATCAACAGGATGATAAATAAATAACACTGTTAGTTCTGATGGCGGGAAACTCATTTGACTTTTACATAAGATGAGATAGAATAAAACATGATCAAGACCTGAACAAATGAATGAGGTGAAGTTATTATCATTCATACCAAACTCCTCCCTGAGTCCAAGTCCTAAGAGACAAAGATGAGAAGCAGCTGGGAAGACAAAGAGAACAGGGACAGGACAAGAGGGAAGACGGATCAACACCGGATCTGCTGTGTGAAAACAAAAACAGGACCTGAGTACGAGAGAAGCTCCGGACATCAGATTCTGTCAGGAACCAGAGCGGGGAGTATTTTCTGTTGTTCGTCAGTCCTATGGAAACAGTGTCTGACTGTTGTTGTTGTTGTTGTTGTTGTTGGGACAGAGCTCTGAGGTGTGTGAAGACTCTCCGACGCTCATTGTGTTTGTCGTTGAGAAGAAGTTTAAAGTTCTACCGGAATGAGACGCTTGAGATGTTGTGATCCTGCGGGATGTTTGAGAGGCTCTCAGACTCTGATCCAGGTCGCTTCACGAGCCTGACACAGTGAGGGAAGAACAACGTCTCCCTCTAGTGGAGTCGCAGAGGGTCACATGTGTCAGAGTGGGAGTGGTTTTAGTACTTCAGGAAATTAAATACTATACATAGACCTACTTGTATTGGATATGAGGTCCTGCAGTGATGTAGATGGCATGTACTGACACCGCTGCATTAATTTGGCCCCGGACTGTTTCCACATTTTGCTCCTGTTGAAGGGACACGGAGCGTTTTCTACACTGGACCTCAAATACTGCAGACCAGTGTGACAGATGTAATGCTTCCTCCTGTAATTTGAGTCATGTGTTTTTCTTTTGTCCCAGTTTACATCAGTTTTGAAATGATTATTCTATGATTTTGTCTGTTGACCCTCCCACCGCCACCCCCACCTTCCCTTCCTCCATGCCCAAATCTCTTTCACTTATTCCTTTATTTATCAATTGTTTCTTATAAAAGTTTTCCTTTATTTACTCTTTTTACATTTGTTTTTTTTTTTACTTTTTATTTATTCATATTTGTATTTGAATGTTGTATGTTTTATTGGCGTATGTTTGATTACAATTCAATATTACTGTTATTTTCTATACAGAGACAGTTTTGTGTATTCCTGACCTCAAGGAACACCACACTAACACTCAGTTCTTCATGTCATGGATTCACCACATGTTGGAAGCTTTCCTCTGCTGCCTCAGCACAAATCCAGATCCATCAGACCAGGTCTTCAACTGTCCAGTGTTGGTGAGTCTGTGTCCACTGCAGCCTCGGGTTTCTGGTCTCGGTGACAGGAAGTGGAACCTGACGTGGTCTTCTGCTGTTGTAGGTTGGACGTGTTGTTCACTCTGAAGCTTCTCTGCTCAGCACAGCTGTACAGTGAGTGGTTATCTGAGTGACCGGGGCCTTTCTGTCAGCAACAACCAGTCCGTCCATTCTCCTCTGACCTCTGACCTCTGACCTCTCTCATCAACAAGGTGTGGTTTTAATCTGGCCTGCACCTGTAATCTGACCTTTATGGTAGTTACACTGACAGGAAACGTTAACAACTTTTTATTACGTTCCAAACACAGGTGTTACAGTCTCACCTGAGGAGGGGCTATGACGTCTTAATTGTACCCGAGCACATCACACATGTAATATTTATAGAGAGATTTCTCTGAAGATTATACATTGTTGTTTTCTTGTCAAGTTATTTTTGGTAAGATTCAAGAAGGATATCGATGTAACATGCACCCAGAGATTGTCTTCCGACTGTTTTGGACTTGTGAACACACTCAAAGGCATCTGTCAGTTCATTTTGGATTTTATTTATGATGCATTTGTGCTTTGCTTCAAGGATGTATTGTTTGGCATCATATCACTGGCCATGTTTTACATCCACAAATGTAAGGTGTTAAAAACTTACAGAAGAGGATTAGGGCCACATGTTAATTTTTTTTTAATTAGAATTCCAACTTTAAACTCAGAATTCTGAGAAAAAAAGTCAGAATTCTGACTCCAAAAAATATATTTTTCTCACATATGGGCTTCTTCTGTAACAACTAAACCCTTTGTGTTCCTTTAAGAAGGAACCGGAGTAATAGAACATAATCTACCTCTTGTAATAGAAAAGCTGTGGAAATTCCACTGTGCTCCAAATTCAAAATATTAATATAATTCTGAATATATGTACCGTTATTATTATTATTATTATTATTTTTTTCACTGTACCACTTTGTTTTTATTTGATTGTGTCAAACTTTTTATATAACCTCTGGCGCTGTATATGTTTATCTTTTTTACTTCTTTTGTGCCTTATTTTGTGTGTCTAATGTAATGATTAATACATTTTAAAAAACGTATATTATACAGTGTTTCAAAATGCGTCGGACATGGCGAAATGTGTGCTAGAATACACGTACGTCCGGTTTTCAAAATAAGGTGACAACACAAAGTGTATTTACTAAATAGATATATGGAAATGAGATTAACTGTGTTTAATACAACAGTTATTTCCGACCAAGTAATTTGATTGGACGAGAGACACTCTGAGTGCTGATATAGAGTACCGCAGCACTGGGACTTTTAACTACATGTATCTCTCCGCTTTACGGTCACTTTATTTATTTGTATAGCGCCAATTCACAACATAAGTTATCTCAAGGCACTTTCCTAATAAAGCGGGTCTAGACCTTCAATTTATATTATTATTTATATTATTTTATATTTATTTACAGGTGTTCCATTAACCGTTAATTAGCGTTACATTAACGGTCGTTATCTATCTGAGATTGTCACAGAGAAAATGCAAGGATGAATATATTTCCAGAAAAAACATTTGAAATAATTCATGCAGTCAAATGCCAGTCCCGTTGCAGAAATATTTGTGTTATGGTAGCCTAATAAAATGACTGAATCACAGCTGATATTCAGTACATCACGACTTCACAGGAAGTATTTAAAGAGTTACCTGTGTCCCGGGGACTTTTACATCCCACTGTTGGGATGAATGAGCGGGTGAACAGGTGTTCCCAATAAAGTGCTCACTGAATGTTATCAGGAACAAAACGAAACCTTTCCTCGGTTAGTTTTCAAACAGCTGTTTGTTCCCTCTGATGTTTTACTGTATTTGACCAGATATTGTGATTTAATTGTTAATAATCTGGGCGCACGTGGCTGAACAGACTTGACACTGATGTGAAATTAAAGGTTTATTCCGTAAAGACAATAATCAGTAAAGACATGATAGACTGGTCTGAGTGGAGACCAGATCGAGGACTGGTATCATCCAGATGGAGGAGTCGAGTTGGGTCAGTGTTCACTCAGAACCATCATTCACAAATCACTCATTTTAACCAAATGACACAGAAAGAAACGCAACCTACTGTCTGTCACACAGGTTACTGCAGTGCTGTTTCAGAGCAGCCAATCAGAGCCCACGCTGCCACCTTACAGGAAGTGAGCATCGTAACCTACCAGCTTTCCCACACAGGACTTGGCCCGAACACTTTTCATGCTATTCAACAATTCAGAGGCCAGTTTACACTGTTAAAGGAGAAACCTTTATTTTTTTTTTTTTTAAGACCATTAAAATAAATACTATACAGAATCCAATGTAGAAAACTTGATACACTGTTTCTGTCTCAAAAAGGTTAACAACTCCATAAATTCATTTTAAAAAATAGCACTGACCATACACCCCAAAACATGATGGTTCTCCTAAACCAGACACCCCATGATGACAGGCAATATAATGAGCGCTTAGAAGGGGGGGAGGGAAGGGGGTCAAGTCTCCATATACTTAATCATCTGTAGTTTGGTCCTTTCGTGTCAGACGCCCCCACCTCCCCCGACATTTTGGCAAGGTAGGTTACAAAAAACTTGACCACCACCTTATCAAAAAAATCCAATTTTTTTTTGTTTGAAAAATAAAATCTAAATAAACAATAATGTCAAAGAGTTAGAGATGAAAATCCAACCAGGAGGTCGAGAGGCAAACGCTGCACTCAACTCACCGTCGCTTCAGCCTCCGAGCATCTGCGGCCGCCGGTCGCTCTCCAACCGAATGCTACTGGACAAGTGACTGTACAAGTCAAGCAGTATGTACAATAGCAGTAAAAAATATAGGTATGAAACAGCAGGAAAAGGATCAAAAGGGTAAACAACTCATTCATGGTGGATTTTTTACTATACAGGTCTTTTTATTGAATATGCCCTGTGTACTCTAGACCCCCCAAAACCTGGGTACTGAACATGATCATGGATGTGTGTTAACGGCTGTTTGAAGTACACTGGAGGTTGTTTAAATACTGATCTGGTCAAATGCAGCACATCCCAGTTCATTTTGCGTTTAGTCCAGACTGAACCGCCCAGCTATTAGTTACCAGTGGTGCAGCACCTGGTGGAGGTGCGCAGGAGCAAATCAGAGCCACATTTGACAAAAGCTTCAGTCTTTGTGTTTTCACTGTGCGAGTTATATTGAGCCAAGTTATTCTTTTAATGTTAAGCTTTTCTAACAGTCACAGCTAGAATCCTTTTAACAGCAACGTCAGGTTTTTAAATGTGCTTTCGGAAAAGTGGTCATGTTCTGCACTTGTGGGATTCTTTTTTCTTTTTTTTTTTGTTTTTTCTTTTTTTCCAATGTCGTCAGGACATCAATGTGGGAACGGTCTAATTAATGCTAATGGAGAATTTAGCTGCTGATATGGAGTGACGAACTATGGAAGCGGATGAAGCCGAGTCATCCTTCCAACATGGCCAAAATCTATTTCAGAGGAAAGGGAGGAGTGGCGGTTGCGTTCCTCCCTCCCTCTGAACGTGGAGGGTAAAGTCATGGTTCAGATCGTGTAAGAAACAAAGTTTGACTTCTAAAATAAGCAGGGTGGGGGCGGACGAAGGGCAGGTGGAGTCGTCGTCTAGATCAGATCGGCCACATTCATGGGCATCTCCTCGATGGTGGTGTTGTAGAACGTCTCAATGTCCCTTAGGGTGCGCTTGTCATCCTCGGTCACCATGTTGATGGCTACTCCCTTCCTGCCGAAACGACCACCCCGACCAATCCTGACAGTCAGAAGAGGAGAGTCAGTCACTGAGCAGAGAACATCTGTAAACATCTGGAAGCTCCAGACAGTGAGAGTAACTGGGAGACTTCAAAGTCGCACAGGGTGGAAGATAAAGACTGACAGGTTTTATGGATTGAAGGTTCACATCAGACAACATGACAGTTCTGTTTGCTAAGCCGGTAGAACTTGGGTTCAGTTACCTTGACTTGGTAGTTGGAAATTATTAACCAATGACAAAACACCATGAGAGAAAAACAAAAAAAACATTTGGGAATATGTATATTTGGTTCGTAATAACCAAGGCAGCGTTACACTGATAATAAAAATCAACATCTGAACTTCAGTCACCATGTGTCATATTTACTTTTCTTTATGAGACACTAGCATTTCTTACGAACACTTATTCAGGCCAGACAACAATGTGACGTGACATTTGTCCGAGTTGTGCCGTTACCTGTGGATGTAGTTTTCCCTGTTGGTCGGCAGGTCGTAGTTGATGACTAGAGACACCTGCTGGACATCAATACCTCTGGCCTGAGGAGGAACATGAGGGACATTAGTTACACAGCACAAGAGCGGACATGACTGAGGTCAGGCTTCAGGTCAGTATTCACATCAAATTTTCATCTTTTTAGAAAAAAAAAAAAAAAATACATATATACACATATTTATAAAAATGTAGTGTAATCCGCCAATTAGTTGTGAGTCCAGGACTTGAACCTAGCTACAGTGGAGGGCAGATAGGCTTCTCTACCAAGGAACATTCAGTCCTTCACCAGCACTGCAGATGGGAGGAGAGGGAACCTTGGACCACACAGATCATCTTATAGTAAACCTGACATCTGTTAGTCTCAGTCAGTGTGTGTACAGACATGAAAGATATACTTAACTTTAATGTTATTCAGACAAAAGGCAGAGTAGAACAAAATTGCTTTGCATCTGGCTCATCGATATAAAATTATAAATATCATTTACAGACAGGTATATTGCACAATGAATGAAATATTTAAAAAATTGGTCTGAAAAATATTTCAGGCCAACTTAAAACTTGTCTTGCCGGAGCAGCTGCTGCCATTCTGACGTGCCTGTCACACCGTCAGCAGCTCAGGTTGTTTAGCTACAGTGCAGCTACAGTGTAAACAGCTGTTGTACCTACCAGCAGGTCAGTGGTGATGAGGACTCGACTGGAGCCAGAGCGGAACTCCCTCATGATCAAGTCTCTCTCTTTCTGGTCCATGTCACCGTGCTGAAAACACATGGAGAGGAACGGGACAGGGTGAGCGCCTTCACGGCGGTTGACTCACCAATGGGAGCTACCAGATGTAAACTCCACTGAAAGGTTTAGTTGTGCCAATCATTTCTGGATTACCTTTACAGTGCAGCATCACCACAAATTCCACAACTTTAGCCATGCAGAGTTAAAAAGGTCTCAGGCTGGACTCAGAGCTCAGTGTATGAGGACAGAGAGGCTCTTACCAGAGCGGACACGGTGAAGTCTCTGGCGTGCATCTTCTCAGTGAGCCAGTCCACTTTCCTCCTCGTGTTGATGAAGATGACAGCTTGTGTGATGGTCAGGGTTTCGTACAGGTCACACAGCGTGTCCAGCTTCCACTCCTGAGGAACAGGACCGGGATCTGAGTCAGTCCACTGAGCTAAAACCAACAGTCTTATACAAGAGTTCTGCAGTAAATCCTCCTTTGTGGAGGCTGCAAGGATAATGTTGTTGAATCCACTATAGAAGGATGTAGTCTTAAGTGGTTCAGCTAAACTGTACTGTATTATACAGAGACGCCTGTCCATTATTGAACTCAGCCTCACCGATGCCAACAAGAGAGACACCTCCCTGTGTAACACAAGTCAATAGTTTGACAATAAAACCCTTTGTGAAGGTGAGGAGCGTTTCAACTGTTGGGCCATTGGATTAAATGGTATTAGCGTTAGCAGGTGTACTTAAACCAGTTTATCTTCCACATGTGACTACAGATCACCTTCAACCTGTACACAGACGGGTCTTTTTGTTGAATTAACTCTAATCTCTCCTGGTAAACGTTTCCTCACCTCTTTCTCCACGTTGATGTAGAACTGACGGATACCCTCCAGGGTCAGCTCCTCCTTCTTCACCAGGATCCGGACCGGTTCACGCATGAACTTCTTTGTGACCTCCAAGACGTCGGCTGGCATGGTGGCCGACAGAAGGACAACCTATCCAAGGAAAAAAAAGAAAAAAAAAAAAAGAAAAGAAAAAAGAGACAGAAGGACGGCTGGTTAAAACCAGATCAAAAAAAGCACACATCCAGGTGTATGCACTGTGCCTAAGAAACTGCCTCGGCCAGGTGTTCAGCTCTTACCTGTGTGCTGCTTGCCAGTTTCTGGAAAATCTCATAGATCTGGTCCTTGAACCCTCGACTCAGCATCTCGTCAGCCTCATCCAGCACGAACATCTTGATGTTCTTAGAGGCTGCAAAATAAAGAGGTGAGACATGTTTAATGTCCTACTGATACTCCCGGTTGGACATTTTAGACTGGAGATCGGAATCGGTTATTCATCAAATATATTCTGGCAATGTCAAGGACTGAGCCAAGAGTTGGAAGAAATGATTAGGGAGCATATTATATCTGATTCCAGCTGAAGGCCTGTGCAACACTTAGTCATCTCTCTTCCCTGTCGTCTCCCGTCTAAATCTGTACAGTCCTCACTAAAAAGGCAAAAGCGTGGGATTGTCCAGGTGGAGTAGCAGTGTGTTTATAGTTGTCTGATAAAGACCAAAAAAAAAAAAAAAAAAAAAAAAATCCACTGCGTACGACTCTGGAGAATCATTACGGTGGCAGCCATTTTGTTTTTGAGATCGTGACAAGAACCATGCGTGCACTCATCTCTACTACGGGCCAACGCAGAGCCAGACGACGTGCTGCACAGATGGACTGGCTCCGTTCAGGTGAACAGGTGCCATGTTTTCTCATGAACATAATATGGAGAGAGAGAGAGAGAGTAGTGACATCCAGCTGGAGCATGAAACAGACCAGAGTACTACAGTAACAGTGTGGTTATCAGTCAGCTCTTCACATTAACTATGCAAACTACCACCAACAGCTACGAGCACCTCTCTGCAGTTCAGAGAGTTGTAGACGGTACAGTGCAGCAGCAGACTCATGCCGTCGGTATATTGCGCACACACATTTCTGCGTTAGGAGATAGGATGTGTGTGATATTTTATTAATGTACACCACCAGTTACTGGTGTGCCAGATGTTGCTCAGCTGCCCACCACTAGATGGCAGCCTCCTTTAATAAAACCTGGATGTTATAATCCAGCAAGGTGGAAAGCGGAAACAGACATGTAGTAGAACCAGCCTAGTTTGGCAGTTTAACTGACATAACTACTCGACTGGAGCAATGTGGAACCACATTCCCATGTATGTGGATTTATTAAACCTGTATGGCAAGACGGCTGCTGGTGTCAGCTACACCACCCAAACCAATATGACAGTTTACCCACAGATGCTGTGATCTGATTAAATTGTGCTCAACTTATTGTTTGAAGTTTTTAACTTTTGGATGAGCTGAGTCCAGATCTAAACCATTTCATCAACAGGGAAATTAAACATTGGGAACATCCCTGTTAGGGATGTTTTAAAACTGGTGTTTCTCTGAGTTCACATAAGTACAACACCTTGTTGAGTAACACATGAACAAAGAAGCAGACAGAAGTACAGACACTTGCATGTCATTTTCTCAAACATTCTGTTGATAAGACTCGGCTGTCAACCCTAAAGACTGGTTAGTGTGACTGATGGTGCTGTATTCAGAGTAGTGATGTATGATCATGTCTCTGGGTCGCTGGTGTCCTGAGCACTCCAGCCAGCAGAACGCCGACGGGAGCGACAACACACCAGGGGTTCACAGAGTCAGTTGACACGCATGGGTTTCATCATTATACAGCAGGTCTGACTGGAGCCGCCTCTTGTTCTGGATTAGTGTTCAGACGTTAGTGTCACAGCAGCAAGAATAAACTGACTGAAGTACAGTCAAATGGAGAGCTGGTTGGTGAACTGATCACATTCGTCAAGTCAACCTTTAGCCCGTTGCTTCAGGCGAGTATAAACTCCTCTAGATAAGCCTTCCTGTATTGTCATTTATTGGTAGCCTGACAGTCGCTCCTGAAGTTCATTAAGAAACCATTTGTTAACTCCCATGATGACTTACAGAGGTTTTTGCGAGTTAACATGTCGAAGACACGGCCAGGAGTTCCCACCACGATGTGAGGAGCCTCAGCCTGCAGCTTCTGGACTTCACTGCGGATGTTGGTCCCTCCAATACAGGCGTAGCAACTGGCCCCCATGTAGTCACCCAGGGCCAGCACCACCTTCTGGATCTAAACAAAGTCAGATAAACAACACCATGTGTTAGGCCATTAAAAGAGTTAACATTCAAACCAGGATGCATGCCGATTTTGACTTGGGTTCAACCGATTTACCTCTTCTGGAGTAAGTACATGTTGCCTATTTAAAAAAAATAAAATAAAAATCCTAAATATGTTTAAGATTCTGTCAAATCTTGTTTTAACACAATGAATGTCTTTTTTCAATCCAGTTAGATCCATGCAAGTTTTATTTTTTCTCCAACATGTTAGAAAAATGCAAGTTTAATTTATTTATTTAGTGAGTATATATATATATATATATCATATACTAGTATATATATATATATATATATTATATATATATATATATATATATATATATATCTGTATATATATATATATATACACACTCTGTATATTTATATATGTCTCTATATAAATAAAGTGGTTTAGAAAATAGTTTAGCTGCACACTGATTGATCCTTTGCAAATTAACTAACTGTATTAAACTGCTGTTAGTGTCCTGACACTGCTCTTGCTGTATTACAGCAGCGAACAGTTGCTGTATTGTCTAGGGGATGTGAAATTATAGTGTTAATTCCTCCTCTTTGCACCTTCCAGCTGATGGAGGCAGGATGGAGCTGATGAGGCAGTCTGCTGTCAACCCTAATGACTCGTTAGTGTGACTGATGGTGCTGTATTCAGAGTAGTGATGTATGATCATGTCTCTGGGTCCCTGGTGTCCTGAGCACTCCAGCCAGCAGAACGCCGACAGGAGCGACAACACACCAGGGGTTCACAGAGTCAGTTGACACGCATGGGTTTCATCATTATACAGCAGGTCTGACTGGAGCCGCCTCTTGTTCTGGATTAGTGTTCATAAACCCAGTGTTGATATATGGTGTTCCTACTAAAGTGCTCCCCAAGCCATAAAGACAAACACCCTTTCAGATTCCCGTTAAAGCTGTCTCAAGACGTTTCTCTGCCTCTCTGGAGATAAATGAGACAGCATCGGCCCCAACACAAGTCAATATAATTTTTCTGTTAAGTATGTTTGAAAAAAAAAGGTGGAGTCCATGTTTTATGGAAAACTACTACATCGGATTTTATTTTCATGGACAGACTACAAGAGCAACTGTGGTAGTTTAAGTCCATCTATAGCGAGTCAGAGAGTCCATCAGTCCACTTTAACCTGCACGATTTTCTCTGGGCTGATGTGAGATGCTTTGCTGACATAAAGTAACCTCATGAAAACAAGTTCATAGTCTCCTGACATTTTACTGAAGAAATGAACCAGGGGTAAAAATGTGTCCAACATCCATTAATTTCATCCATCACATATGAGTTTAAAAACACTGGTACATTTGAACTATCAGAGGAATCGACTGGCTTCACTAACACACTCAGTCAGTCTAGGTACAGCCAAACACACTTACAGTGTCAAACGCTGTGGGAGCAGCGTTTCCCTGCTTAGACTAACCTTAGGTTTGAGGCTCGTGTGAATAAAACCAAGTGGTTTTAACTTCCTTACACACTAAGCTAGCATCTACTGATAGTTTGCACGTGAGGCATTTAGGGGGCATCTGTAAGTTGGACATACATACATAAGCATTCAGACTTCCATTTCTCTGGATCACCTCTGGGATGTTTTTACACCTTTATTGGAGACCACCTGTGATAAACTCAGCTGATTGGACACGATGTGGAATTCTATTTTACCTTTGTCATTATGGGATATTGAGCGTTCTTATTTTAGCACACGGCTAATTGTAATTGAAGTCTATGAAACTTTTGTTATGCAACTAGCTGTAGTGAAAGACTACACAGGGAGAAAAGCTGGTGTCTTACCCACTTAAACAATGATACCAACTCTGTAACAGTGGTTTAATGTGTCCTTTGTACAAAACCATCAAAAGTATTCAAATTGCACCAAAACGAAATAATCATTGCAGTCTAATCTGTAGTGAGATCTAGCAGAAAGGAGCACCTATACTGATATAACTGTCCCATGTCTGTAACTATACAACTACTCAGACAGTAGGGACAATGTTACGCAGCTATTAAGACTGAGGGTGTGTTGCATCCAATCAAAACACTGCAGGTTTTTCAGTGTTTGTTTTAGCTTGAGCCTACCTGCTGAGCCAGCTCCCTGGTAGGAGCAAGGACCAGAGCCTGGGTGCCTTTCAGCTCCACATCAATCTGCTGGAGGATGGAAATGGCAAAGGTGGCAGTCTTCCCAGTTCCAGACTGGGCCTGAGCGATCACATCGTAGCCTAAAGGGGAGAAAAAATGAAGACATGGGAACAGGGTATTTACAACAGATTCAACTACAGTAGTGTACACAGCTACTTTAGCACAAGCATGATCATTTAGTTCAGGGTTCTCAAATTCACACTTTCAATGTCAAGCAGCTGTCAGTTGGGATGATTCAAAGTGTTTCATTAGCGTAGTTTAAGCGACAAGAATCTGATGCTCTGCAGAACCTCAGGGAGGCTGAGTGAACAGAAATCACTGCTTTGAACAAAAAGGCATTAAAACACAACTTCTGTTGTTGTTCTAGCAGTTAAATGTGGTGCAGCTGCATTGCAGATGTTCTGTCCCTGGGCAGAGAAGTGAATACTCCAGTATTTCTAAAATCTAGGTAAGAGGTATTGATTAAAATAGAACATATACACACAAAAAAGCCCCATCACTGAAAACTTACTTACCCTTGATACAAGGGATAATGGCTCTCTGCTGGATAGCGGAAGGCTTCTCAAAACCATAGGCATAAATTCCCCTGAGCAGAGCCTCGCGCAGGTTCATCTCATCAAAACTGTCCACGATCTGGTTCCAGTTGCTCTGCAGAGACAAACAAGAAATTCAAATGCATGTTAAAGATTATCTATATGATAATTCTTTATATTTTTACAGCTTGCAGAACAGTAAGGTGCTCCTCACTGTTGGCTTAAAATTACATCTTGAGGCTATGTGGGTGGAAGTGTCACTGTGGTGATGAAGATAATAAAGCCCCCTGCAGACAAACTCACCTCAATGATCCCATCTGGCTCCATGCCCTCTGGGCCATTGTCTCTGTTAATGACCAAACAAACAAACAAAAAAGGTTATTCTGTGCCACATCACTACATAAATTAACATTTCATAAGCAAAAAATAAGTAAACTTTATGATACCAAAAACATTGGGACAAAATTGTCTAGGATACTGCCATCATGTAACTTATGACTCGATGCGTTTAATAATATCCTAGAGGAATATTCACCTTTAATGCCAACTCTACGTCAATATATTTTTGATCTTATTAATAGTTAATATTACAATTAAAAAACGCCAGTGTAATCAGGTAGTAACTGTATGGTCATCTGTTGCCTCCTTCACACAGCAGACATTATATTCAGACATGTTTGCTCTTTTCTCCTGGTCCTTCAGAGTAAACGCCTTTTCGGAGTCCGCCATTTCTACTACATACATCCAAGATGGTCGTTTCTCTGGTGAAGGCTGAGTCGGAAGCGAGACGACGAATTAACGGCTACGACAGCCACGTCGAATACACTTTATCTACTTCACTACATGAGACTCATTGGTGATTTAACGTGAACCATCGATGTGAACTGTTGAATTTAAGACGTGGCGCTAACGTTAAACGTGTGATAGCAGGAATAAAGAACAGCTTAGCTAGCTGTAGCCCCGGGCCGCTACCGCCGCTGCCAACAGGCCCCACATCCTTTTTATGTGGCCTTTTATTAAAACTTGTCCAGTCAGCGGTTCCCATTAACGACAGCACACATCGACACAAACTGCTTATTTGTTTCAACCGAGGAGACACAACAACAGCAGCGTCAGGAGAATCGTTTCCAGCGGCACTCAGCGGCCTGCGCTGCCGACATTGTCCCGAGCCGCCGGTTCACAGTACGGCGACCATGTGCGCCCGTCGGCCGAGGAGAACAAAGATACTTCACATTTCTACCACTGGCTCCGGTGGACTTCCTCCACCGCGAGAGGAACAGGGAGCCCCGCAGCCTCAAAACACATTTACATTTAATATTTGACAAATAACAACAGAGCGTTGTGATATAATAACCGTTGAGGCCTACCCCAGCCTCATTCACGTGCTACCAGAGGCGCCGGCTGCCATTTCATTTCATTTAGCTTCAGGGATCTATAGCGGCCGCCATGATTCCTGCCGCCTACGATAAACATGTACACCATAATTCACGAAGCAAAATATAGATTTTTAAATGAAAATGCTAAAATCTAACGTCTGACTTCCCGGTGCCGGTTGATGAAATGTGAGGACCGGCGACGTTAGTCTGAGGCAGGCTGTCTACAGGCCTCATCGTTAGTCAGACACAGAAATGCCAGGATGCTTCACACAAAGTCCACATCACCGAAAATCAATGATAACAAATACTATCAAACCGACGGAAACGAATGAACCGAGCTGTGAGCCGATGTGTGACCGTGAGATTGTAAAATGTTTCCTTACCTATTATCATATTCAGCCGACATTATTCCAAAGAAAGAAACTGCGGCAGAAATGACTTATATACGCTGACAACACACAAAGAGGCTCTCTCATTGCTACACACCGCCGTCACTTAGCTGTGCTCCCGCCCACATGCACTTCTGATTGGTCGACTGGTACGTCACACTTAGAGTAGGCGGGCCGTAGCAGCTTCAGAAGTGCACGATTGTTGTACTGCTAGCACGCCAGAGGGGCGGAGTTTGGATTTTATAAGCGTACAGTCTGAGCGGTGTCCAGGCTCCTATCACCGGGCTGCCCCGGGGTCCACTGCCCAGGTTCCCCTTCATTCAGGTCAGCCATTTGTCAGCGCGGACAAAAGGCTGAACCTCCGGGTAGAATATCTCCTCTGTTCTCCTGTGAACAACATTTCCTTGTAATCTTTAGCAAATCAGAAAATGGAAAATTACAGCAGTGACACATCTCGCATCCAGTGATGTAACGATGAGTCACACTGTAGTCATGCCCCTACATACAGTTATTTCGAAGAGGGATTCACTTAGACCATAATACATCCTGATGAATGACAACTGATGGTTAATATTGATCTCATCAGGGATCATGGGTCTTAGAAACATTGACTAAATAATATGGTCTATAAACAGCAGTGATCCTAAATCAAAAACAATTTGAAAATAAGAGAAATAAAAACACTACAAATTTGATAATCAATCATTAGTGTCTGACAGTTTTAATACTCATTTTCAATACTTGTTGACAGCAAAATTAAACTTCTGGCCCAACATGTGCCTGGTTACTTGGTCTGAGTCTGGCCCATATAAACACACATCTGGACCAATGCACAGATGTGGAAGTAGCATCTGACAATTATGTCATATATGGGCCAGATTCGGGCTGTGGAACCGGGCCTATACTGGGCCAGAAGAAACATATTTTCTTCTGAGGCAGCAGATGGTCGGGTCAGAATCTGAATCCATGGACCAACCTGCCTTGTGTCAACAGTCCAGGCTGCTGGTGTGATGGCGTGATGGTGTGGGGAGTGTTTTCTTCTTAATACCAATCAATCCTGGTCTGAATGTCTCAGTCTCTCTCAGTATTGTTGCTGACCATGTTCATTCCTTCATGGCCACAGTTCACCATCTTCTAATGGCTCCTTCCAGCAGGATCACGCTCCATGTCACAAACTGGTCTCATCAACATGACAGTGAGTTCAGTGAACTTCAGCCCCCCCAGTCTCCAGACCTGAATCTAGTAGAACACCTTTGGGACGTGGTAGTACAGGAGATTGCAGCATGAATGTGCAGCTGACAGATCAGCAGAAATCATGTGATGTAGTTATTTCAACATGTTGCAGAGTCTCAGAGGGAAGTTTCAACATTTGGTGGATCAATGACATGAAGAACTGAGGAACCACCCAGAGTTAATGTGGTGTAAAGTGATCAGTGAGTGTATTTCTCTGCTGAAGAGTGAGAAATCAAAAACCAAACGATAGCAATTTTGCATAAATTCGCTTTTGTTGCCATTTTTCACAAAACATCCAACCCTGCTGATGCAGAATTTGTGGGTCACCTTAAACAATCATCTCTACATGTTCAGTGATGTAACATCCTACAAGCAGAGTTATGGGGTAGAAGTATTAAAGGTCCATATTTTATACTTTTCCAGCGTCTTATTTGAAGTGTTGATCCATAAAATGATCTTAAGAACCAAAAACAATTTCAGTTGCCTATAATTTACACCTCCTCTCTCAGGCTTCCCTCTGGAGCGCAAGCAAGAACAAGGTGTTTCGTGTTGGTCTCTGAGCCTCTCTTCTGATTTGTTGTTTTCTGAGTGAAACACGGCCAGGCCAACCACAGGTAACGGACTGTATCCTACCACTGTGTAAAAACCACTCAGTAAAATTCTGGTATTACAGAAAAAAAAAAAAAACTTTAGCTGCTTGTCTCTAATATTACTATCCATGAGATGTGTGATGTATTGGCTTCCTAACATCCAAAGATTGTGTTTCCTCAGTGACGGAACGGCCACTTGGTAGTGTGTTGGTAATAAAGTTCAAACAAAAAACTAAATAAAATAAAAAATAAAAAAACTGGTTAGATGGTGGGTCAAGGTGGGTCGGGCTGGGAGTGGTGACTGCTTTGTTGTGACATCACAAAGTTCCAGAAGTCCTGACGGCTGGTTTTAAGGCTCAGTTCCTGAATACAGGCTGTGTGCATTTCTCTGTGGACTGAGACTTTGATACTTTCACAGTATTAATATAGAACCTAGACCTGATCTATAATCAAACTGCACATGCATATCTACCTTTAGACTATATGGACCTATTAGTGGCATGTAATTTGTAATTTGATTATCCCACACTCAGCTGATGCAGTAGCATCAATAAAATGCACAATCTCGTTTGCCACGTATTTTTATTTTTATCAATCATAATGCATTGTAGAAGATATATAAAACTGTCAACTCTGTTGCATCAACTCGTTTGAAAAAACAAAACAAAACAAAAAAAAAAAAAAAACAAAAACAAAAAACACAGCTATCAACAAATTTGTCTTTCGTTATAAAAAGAAGAGGAGGGTACTGTAACTCCGTTGTGGACATGCTTAATCTATTGTGTAGCTGTCGTGGTCCTCACCAAATGGCTCTCAAACTGTCAAAGAAACACTAACCAGAGGATCTCTTTTGTACCTACACCGAAAACAACACAAATTAGTAGTCCTCCTTTTAACACCATTTGTTTAAAGCAAGAAGCATATCAACACATTTACTGACAGAGAGAAAACACAGAAAAAGATAAATGCAATGTAAAGCTACCCCCTTCTTTAGGCCAAGCGTGGCTTGTTTGGGCGGCGGTCGACAGATGCGGACCCTGTCTCCCGTGCGTCTGACCGGGAAGACAGATGGAGGCAGAGGAAGTTTCTGGCACGGGGGGTGGGGTGGGGGTGGGAGGTTGGGGGGGTGGGGTGGGGTTGGGGGTGTCAGTGTGTGGTGTGTTCCATGGATGTTGTAAATTCTGATTTCCCCCTCAGAACAGCTCGTCACACGCTGCAGCATCAACTACGCACCAAAGTTCCTTTTCTCAGCATCGGTTTAAATCCATCTAAATGTCTGGTAGGAGACTGTCAAACAGATATTATACACTGGAAATGTCACGTCGCACTACAGTGGCAAACATTATGTGGTGACTAGAGAGAGAGCATTGTCAACATAACATTGGCTGTAGCATGGGGGAGTGTGTTTCAATGAATCTCCTTGTTTTTTCCAAAGATGTCGAATGAGAGTTTCACACTTTTGACTTTTTTTTTTGGAATGAACATGACTTCCTGTATGGACCGGATGGATGAAGGCTCACACACACTGGTTCAAATCATTCTGCTGCCTCTGCACTCACCACTCAGGCATCTTAAAGTTATAAGTCACGCTGGACAAACTGTGGTCCAGTCCTTCATCTGGACTGGTTCTTTAGATATCTCAGATCTTTTTCATGCGTCCATTCAGACTGAAAAACACACATGGACTACAACAGGATGGAAGATTAGCACATGAAGCTAGTCTTGGCCTCTGTCAACCACAAAGGAATAACCTGGACATTAAATCAGAGTTGTCAAAGGGTGGAGAGAGGGAAGCAAAGAGAGACAAAACAAAGCAAAACAATGACATCACCTACAGTAGAAGTAGTTTCTCTGGATATTGGCAGAGAAAAATAAAGTTTTTGAAAAGTTTCTCTTTTTCCAGTCACTCATTTGCTCCCCGTGTCCTCTTCTTGTTATATCATTGTCCCTCCATCTTGCTGGGGTTAGGGGCGGGAGCAGGTGGAAGATGGGGAGGGGGGGAGGGGGGCTCGGGTCGGGGTGGTTGGTCACAGGATGAGTTTGCAGTGACAGAGTTCTTTGTACATTTGCCTCCTCAGCCGGGGCATGTCTTGCTGGCCGAAGCTGAACGGCTGCCCTAGTGCCAGACACTTGCAGTACTGCAGGATGGTAGAGGGAGAGAAACAAGTTACTGGCTGCAGGAACGACCCGGTCGCAACCACACGTTTGTAATAGTGCATCCCACTGTACACATCAGCTGTGTCCCATTCAGGGGCTTCACCCTTTAGAGGCTGCATCTGAACGACGCAACTACACTGCCCAATTTCAAAGACACCTTCAACGGGTGGATCCTTCGTGGCCCAAAAATATCCCAAGATTCATTGCGCGCTGGTAATAAAAACAACAGTGACAGAGAGCCTGAGGATTACACTGTTAAATGTAAGTATTGGGTTTCAGCTCAGTTCAGCAGCTAACCGTACAACTCTTAAAAACCAAGGGCCTTAAAACCTCAAGCTTTTGTGAAAAGTAGAATCGCCTCCTGGTGGTCCTCTGCCTCCTCCACTGACTAGCTCCAGGTTACATCCCTGTTTATCCAGAGTCAGAGAAAATACGAACCATTTGCCTGAAATTTGGTCATCATTTCTGTGTGAAGTCTTGAGTCACAGCTAAAAAGTGTTTTGTGAGGTCACACTGACCTTTGACCTTTGACCACCAAATTCTAATCTAGTTCATCTTTGAGTCCAAATGAATGTTTGCGCCAAATTCTAAATCAGTTCAGTCAAGGCGTTACTGAGATCACGTGTCCACGAGAACCCGAGAACAACTCGCCTCTGGCTCTGGCTGTCGTCGGCACGGAGGCATAAAAAAAAAAAGTTACATAGTGTCAAGGTTGCTAGGCGACACGAGCCACGCTTTCTGCAGGAGGAGGAGGAGTCGACCCCCTGTGTTTAGTTTCACTGACGTACAGGTCTGTGCCGTCCTCACTGCACTGCTCTGCAGATTGGACCAGGATGTTTTTAGGATGGAAGAGTTTTTGCTGGTGTTGCTGGGTTTGAAAAACACAGGGATGCAACACAGATGATCAGGTCACAGGGGGGGGGGGAATTACACAGTATCAGGAAGGCTGTTTTAATGTTGAGGCTAATGGGTGAATATAACATAAAGCATGAGAGACATGTGGCAGTCCTTTAGGAACAGACTTCCTTCATTAGACACAGGGGAGGACTCAGGGTTGGCCGACTTAAACACTCCATCATCAGTTGCACGCTCACAGCCTCTGTAGTGTTTCTAAGGCTCCTGCAGTGCACTGATAAATGTGTGTGTGGTTGTTTGACAGGAAATGAGATTGTTAATCAGCCTGAATTGAGACCGAGATGCTGATATGATTAAATGTGCATCTGCTAACGTGGTATCAATGCGACTTTAGAGCTAAACCATTAGAAACTCACCTGCAGCACAAAAGCCCCACAGTCACTGTCGTTGTTCTGACGACCCACATTCTGCAACACACAACGCGTTACCTCATTAACCCGTTAGCACGTTAACACGACACTGTACATCTGTTGAATGTATTTAAATGAGCGAGCCGACTCTGTGTCAGCGTCTCACCATTTTAAAAAAGCCTTTCCATCCCGTCAGAAAGTCCTGTTGGTCTTTTTTGATGGCCTCTGCTTGAAGGTACTTAAAAATGTGCTGGAAACAACAAGAGATTCAATGAAAGAACGATGAAGCAAAACAACACAGATCACAGGTCAGTGTATTCACAGAGGGTGTCTGATAATAACAATGATCTAGGAGTGTGGGGGCAGGTGTCATGTCCCACCTTTGGGCAGCGTCTGTTGAGGGTCCGCTGAGAGTCAAAGTAAGTGATGGCTCGACGAGGAATGTCCACACTGACCAGAGACCAGTGAACCTCTAGGTGGATCGGGATCAACAACAGATCCTTCTGGAAGATGTCGACCTGGTCAAAGTGAAGTCAGGTGAGAAGAGGAGAGGGGTGGGGGGCAGAGGAAACAGACATGAATAAAACTTCACACTGAGCTGGACTTCAGGACAGTGGTATGTTCCATACATTTATTCCACGCTGCCTCCTACAGCTGGAGAGCACAGACTGAGAGGCGTCAGCACTGTTCTGCCTGCATGAAGCTGCAGGTCACACAATACTGTGCAACACCAGAGACAGGCTGAGGAGGAGCTCCTGTCCTTCTCAAGATATCAAACACACCACGAGTTCAGTATAATGGACGGTTTAAATATTAAACAGGGACGTGTCCTTGTCCCCTTCATCATGAGTGTCCCCCTACAGACACTGTATTTCGCACAGCGGAAGGTTTCAGTTGAAGCAGCCCAGCACGGTCGCTCAGTGAGTCGTGTTAACTGTGCAGGTTTGACCGGAACCAGAACAGAACCTTATGTACGAGTGTGTAAAATAATATCTCTGCAATGTTAAAATATCACCTCACACCCTAAAACACCCTGAAATACCAGGCCACAACATTATCTAGCTATTCAGATCTAATTATAAATAAGTAACTGTGACTCATGTTAAACAGCAGCTTCTGGTTATTGTCTCATATAAACAGTTAATAAGCAGAACACCATGACAGAGAAGATGTTTAATAATAAGATTTCATCATTCGTACAGTTCATCCTGATGGTATTTCAGGTTATAGCGCTCAGTCCTACTGTATTTGAACTACACAGCCTGGAGTCACTGCGCTACAGAGGCAGGTTGTTGAATGGACGGCGGCTTTATGGACTTAGAAATGAACTTTTAACATACACAGCACTGATGTCACAACAACCCGTTTCTTCACAGGGGTTGGGCGCGGGCGGAGGAGCGTGGACTGTGTGGATCTGCCGCTTCCTCACACTGGTCGCCCGTCTGTGCAGGTTCACAGAGAGGCAGACCCACGGACCATCTAACACCTCAGGACTCCCCAGGAAGAGACTGGAGGAGGCCGGGGAGAGGGACAACTGGGCTGTTGAGCCTGTTGCCACGGTTACCCAGACAAGTGGCAGATGCACTGACTCGTTCTCTATGTTCTTAGTGAAGTCGTTCAGAGATATGGACATGAAGGAGAATGAATGACCGGTCGAAGGTGAAAGCCTGCGACTGTCCTGTCTGCTGTGTGGATGTGACTGTGAATGAAAGAGGTGCACGGAGCACGACGCAGTAGTAGTACACAGTAATCATAAAGCCTGGATGACAAAAAGCTACTAGAAACTATCAGCTGATAACAGACACATTTTACTGCTGAGCAAACAGCAGGGGTGAGACATGCTTCCGCTCAGTGTGATTTGTAATAACTAGGTTTGTACGACGTCAACTTGCAGATAATCCTGCTCAACATCTATCTATCTAATTTTCTTCACTGAAAAACAGTTCAACGTTAAAACCCCCACTCACATTTTTTGTCCACCGCTTGACTCCTTCATAGCCTTTTGTCCGTAGCTTATCATAAAAGAAGCTGTTGAAAAAGTGAACCTGAGGAGGAGGACAGAGAAAACTAAGAATTAGAAACGGCCGTCATCAGGGACGATGCTCATGTTGTTCACTTTATATTATGTGAGAAAATATGACATCATCACAGTCTCCTGCAGAGCTCATCAATGGCAAGTGCACACATAACAGAGGAAACGACAAACACGTCAAAGAAAAAACAAAGAAAAGAGGAGAGAAAAAAAAGGAATAATGATAATAATTGCAGAGGCTGTCTAGTGGGAAAAAAAACAGACAGAATAGATAGAATGGCATTGAGGTTTTGCATGTATGAGGAGCATTCTTATTCTATAATTATTCTTATATAATTATGATACAAAGAAAAGGAAAAAGACAGAAAGAAGAAAAAAGAGAAGCTTGTGTACGTGTGGTGCTCATCAATGTCTGATAATTAGCATTTTGAAATAAAAGTAAAAAGATGAACAATGTTTGAAGATTAAGTAATAAATAATATAATGAACGTGTTGCTCTTAATTCCCAATTCACATCGACACAACAATCAACAACTGGTTGTAAAGCAGGAGTTCACAAAGTGTGTTACTGTTTACTGCAGCTGTGAAGACAGTAACATTTATAGATCTGACTTCACTTTGTCATCACTTGTTCTGGGTTTCAGTACAGCTCAATTAGTTTCTCTTACCCTCTCCGGCACAGAGTCCATGACCAGGTCTCCATACATGTTCATAATCTGGAAACACACACAAACAAAAAGGAAGATGGCACATGTAAACACAGTTCCTTCAGAAGGACACGGGAACGTCTCTGCCGTCTGAGGTTCTCTCCCGTGTTTGTAGGGACGGAAAACACTGTGACTGACTCTGCAGGAGTTCAGAAAGAGGTCAAACCGTTGTATTGATCTGAGCTGCCGCTGCGGCCCAGTGATTTGCTTCAGGTGTCAGGCAGCACGGGTGTTTTGTTATGTAGTGAATGGATGTAGTGAATGACAATATCCCGAACATCGAGTATAAATTGTCACATAATTGTTTTAAGACGCCGGCGTGAAGTTCTCTTCGGCATTTTCGCTCCTCTCGCTTTCTCCCTCTCACGGACGCACTCCCCCGCCCATCCAGAAAACTCTCCGCAATGTGTGACGTAGGTGAGGAGGCGCGTGCGTTTGTATCTGGGGCGGAGGGAACTGAAAAGTGAAAAAAAGTGAAGCGCCGAGGCGGAGTGTATCCGTGTTTAGAAATAAATGGTAAATGAAGATGGAGGCAGGCGAGTTGGTTCAGAAAAGAAACGGCATCAGAACACAGTCTGCCTGGCAACAAATGTTTCCCTGTCTGTTTCTGCTGAGAGCCGCTCGGCGTGAGTGAAAAACAGGGACAACAACAGCAAAGCATGAGAGTGTCTCTTTATGCATCAAAGGGTTAAATCTTGTATTCATGAAGTTCTAGAGTAGATTTCAAAAAAATATATATATATATATATAATGGATCGCAATATAGCCTAAAAATATTGTGATATTACTTTAAGGCCACGTTGCCGAGAACTAACTGCAACTATTACAGAACTACAAAAGGGGGAAGTGGTATCAGCCAGGGTGCAGCTCTTATCTCTTTACTGCGTCTTTTCCTCATGGTAGCTCCTCCCACTGAAGACGTGAGGAGAGAGCTGAGATGTCCTCTACCCTGAACGGTCTGAATCCAGCTGTGCTGTTGTTTCTGATGCTGACAGCACAGCTGGTTGACAGCTGGTTGAGTTGTCAGGTGGCTTTAACAGCTCTGATGACTTTTGGCGGTTTGTATTTATCCTTAATGCACTGTCCGAATCCCACTGAAGACAGTGCAGCAGTGTTTTCAGTCTCTCTGGGTGTTTGGCCTGCACCGCAGTTTATAAATGGACCCTGTCACATAAACCATTTCTACTGGCAGCAATATATAGTTTCAATTTATTAATATTTATTGTATCTGCATTTTTTGATATTTTGTTTGCTAATTCATTCTTTAACAATCCAAATTATGATGAATTTGTTGTAATCTGAGTCAGAACAATGGAAATAGATCCCCACGTCAAACCACATTTGTCCTTGTCAGCCACCGTATAAAGCACAGGTGTAATTGATAACACTAAAATGACTGCATTCCATTTAGGTTAGCTAGATCCAGGTCATCCTGGTGCTGTGTTCACCGCTCTCCGACGCTGGATGGAACTGAGCCACTGTTAAAGACTCGTGTTTCACAGCTGCTGTTCCTAACATACATGAAACAGGTCTACAGTGTTGATCCCAGAGAGTGAGAGGCGTGTGACGTTGTACCTGGTCGTTGAGCCAGTTCTGTCCGTAGAGAGTACCCAGGTCGTCCATCGTCAGGACGTGGCGTTTGTAGTTGACCCTGAATGTTTTAGCCAGGGCTGATCCTGACGAGCGCTGGAAGGACTGTATTAGGTGCTGAACCACTGCTTTCCTGATGAAGAACACATCACACAGAGTCACTTCACAGGTAAATAAAACATCACAGCAGTTTCATCAAATCCTGTAAAAATGTCAGGAATCAGGAGATGGATTAACCTTCAGTCTCAAAGAGCAGACATTAGGTGGTGACTCATTTACTTTAACTCTTATTATCTGATTTTACCATTTGTTTTATATAATTATAAAGGCAGTTAATCAAGAACAGATGAATGCATCCATAATGGCATTCACAGCTCCAGAACCTTGGTAAATCACTTCATTCAGCCAATCCCTGCTCTGCTTCCAAACCATGTGACCGCAGACTGAGGAAGCAGCCTGACACTGTGTCTGACCTGTGTGGCTGAGAGAAGCTCTCACTGAAGATGTCCTGCAGCTTCTCCACGATGTCGTCCACGTGGATGGGGATCAGACTGCCGTACTGCTGTAGAGACTCTTCCAGGATACCTGCAGACACAAACCACAAGACGACGACATCATCATCATCATCTTCTTCTTCTTCTTCTTCTTCACAACAAGCCAGACAAGCTCACTGTGGTGCCAATGCAAGAGGAACATGTTGTGTTTTCTGAGTGTAATTCAAACATCTAATAAAGATAAAATAATATAAAACAAAATAAAACTACTCTCACAGTGACAAATCTAACCGCTTGTTGTCTGGTGGTATCGACTGTAACCTTCCACTAAGTTAATTTAGCAATCAAACGTGACCAGAACCGGCAGTTATGATTGTCAGTCTACAGGTTTGGTGTTTTACAGTGAATGACAAAGACGAGACTGAATCCCGTTAAGGCCTGGCTCCGACTACAGGGGATTTAAAATCCTAACTGATGTTGCAATCAGGATGCATCACACACACAACAGGAGAAACTGACTTATCTTAACTTCTTTCTAACCTCAAACACACTACAAGATTGCAAATAACAGCACATCACACACTGCAGGATGTTATTAAAATGATCCTGCCAGAGGGAGGGGAGTGTAGACAGAGCAGATGTAAATAAAATGAGGACTGTGCTGCAACAACCTGTTGTAACGTGGGTAAAACTTTGCAGAAGGTGAAATTTTAACTTTTTTTATTTGTAATAAGTGTCAACAGTAGCGTGCTGGCTAATGTTAGCCTCATATGCTAGATTGTTTACCATTGCTTGGCAACATCATCAGCTGCTCCAGGACTGACGTGATCACAGCTGTAATCATCTCATCCTGATTTTAACTTCTAAATATCAAACATGTTTTTTTTTTGTTTTTTTTTTTAATCAGGGCGGCATTGATGAGGCAGTTCAGGAGGTTTAAGACTGGATGGTAAAATGATCACATGACCAGATAATCTGGGCCGAACATCGGTACCGACCAAGGTCCAGGAGCAAATTTCTCCTGTGATTGTCAGGAGGGGTGAATCAGGGTTAAACTCCTGCAGTCTGAGCCCAGCTTTAGACATGAACTCAGCAGGTTTAAGTTCATCCGACCACAGTGAACGGGAGCCTCGGTCTGATCCTCACCAGTCACACAGCTCATGTGTTCTTCAGTAAGCGTAAGAGACAGTTCCACTGGTTTCACATCCACTTCCCGTCTCCCTCTGTCCTCCTGCTTCTCTGGAGGACAGCCATTTATCTTCTTATCTGCAGAGAGGGGGAAACGCATCACACACTTCTTTCTCATACACATTCTTAGACTCAGTCAATATTTTTCATTTATTTCCAAAAAAAAGACAAACCCTGGTGAAGATAAAACATTATATTATGTTATACTACAACTCAATATATTGACACCTGAATCTAAAATGTGCAAAATCTCAGTAAAGAAGTTGGGTAAGAAACACTGAGGCTGAGAGGAACATGACTTCATGCTTTCTGCTGACTAACTGTTACAGAAGAGGAATATTTTAAATCATAACAAGTTATCTTCTTGATGAAGATATTCGCACATCCAAATGTCTCAGGTGTAGGTGTGTTGGAAAGTGTCACTTCAGTCTTGAAAAGAAAAATATCTCATGGCATGTCATGTTCTAAGAGGTTTAGGGACTTTATAGATCCATCTATGGCTCAGAACTGATATGCATATATATATATATAAACATACATACATACATACATACACACACACACATACACACACACATATATATACATATATATATATATATATATACACATAGAAAATATAAAATAGAATACAAAAAAATATTGTATAATGTACAATTATACAATAAATGTGTGTGTATCTGTCATGTTATATTCTATAATATATTTATAACATATATTCTATAACATGACAGAGTATACACAAATCACTGATTGAAAGACACTCCCATGACAAATTAATTGTCACACACCTGGGGCAGACCAGATGGCTGGAGCTTCATCTATTTTAGATCATGGTTGTAAGAACTGTTTAAATTACTTCTGACACAGGTCTACAGAGACTGAAATGCATCAATAAACTGTGATGCTGAGCAGGAGCAGTGTGGGATATTCTTCTCTTAAAGAATGATCGTTAGTAAAAAAAAAAAATATTTCTCAACAGCTCCGATCTGCTTCATTTTCATCTTGTCACAATAAATCCAACTGCCTCCTAAGCTTTTCTCAAAATTTGGAAAACTGTAAAGCCACTATAATAACAGGGATTTAAAAATGTGTAAACATTATGCTCTGTTTTTACTGGGGAAGCGGCCCACTCAGGAACTGGACCTGAGTGGACCGCTTCTGACATCAGACACAGAGACAGAGCTACAGCTATTGTCAACTTCCCTGCTGAGATAAAATAAACACTTCACTGACCTCACTCTACTGAACACACAAGGATTAAACTGGACTTCATGTCCAACTTGTGGTAAAACATCAGACATGATAGTTGTATAAAAACAACTGGGGCTCGGCAGTCGCATACAGAGAAGACAAATCAGAAAATACAGAGACATTATTGTTTTTTGTCTTCTCGTGTGATTTGATAGTAAATGAGGAGTTAAGTAGAATACAGAGCTACACCATCTTTATCTCCATCAGCCTGCCTTCTTTAGAGCTACATGTGGTGCACGTCAGTACCTCTGTCAGACTCCGTGAACCTCTCATCGGTGCTGTCGTCCTCTCCGTCGGTGTATGGTGACTGCTGATACCTTTTTATCCTCCTCTGCTTGCCGTACAGATTGTACCTTTGCCCTCTCCGGCTCCACCGGTGCCCGAGGAAGCACACCCACTGGGCCCGCTGGCGCCAGCTCTTCCAGTGCTGAGTGAGCCGAAATCCGAGGCCTCCGTGGGATCGCAAACGCTGCCAGCGCCGGAGCCTCCTCAGAGCCCTGTACCGGCTCAGGTGGGACCTGAACAGGTCCCCGGCCTCAGCCTGGGAGAGGGAATCCTCTACAGTGACATCACCACCGTCTTCTGCCTTCTGCTGTGGTCCATAATGTGGATGTGGTTGTGAATGAGGCTGATGGGTGGACTGGAAGGGAAAGTCTGGGATCTCCCACTCCACTTCTGCTTGGTCTCCTTCCTCTTCCACCTCCTCCTCCTCTTCCTCCTCGTCCTCGTCTTCCTCCTCATTGTTATCCCAATCCTTGCCTGAAAACTCGCCCTTGTCCTCCCCGTCCAGATTGTTTTCTTCTTCGTCGTCGTCGTCACCTATCGCCTCAATCCCTCCCATCCCGTCATCCTCCTCCTTATCTACATACTCGCGGGTCCACACTTTCTCTTTCTGCCCCAGCCTGAGGTGCATGGAGCTGGGCACGCTGTGGCCTGACACTGGGACGATGAGGTGGTCTCCAGGAATCCCACCTACACACAAACATGAGCAGTGATGAACTGTATCAGCTGAAAGTGAAATTAACGCCTGTAGTGACACTGACGTCACAGAGCAGAGAGTTCATAGATTATATGAAAACAGCAAATCATCATAACTGAAAAACTGAAACTAGGAAGTGTTTGGAACATTTACTAGTAAACTTAATTAGCGAGTTATGACCCATTTCTAACCAAACAGTAACAGAGGAGAGAACTATTCACTGATTTATTGAGTCGACAGACAGAAAAACTAAATTATTATTCTCAAAATGTTTTTTTCATTATCAATCAATCATTTAAGTGATTTTTCAAGCAATTTGATGACATCATCTTAGGCTTTGGAGAACAGTGGTGAGACCTGTGCATTATTTATTAACCAAACAATTAGAATTATAATAAAAATAACAGTCTGCAGATTACTTAGTAATAAGGATGAATCATTCTGACATATTTTGATGAGTCAGACTTTAGTAGATTTAGACATTCGTTTTCACTGAAAAAAACGGATGTGATTTTTTTTCTGGGGTCTTCACGGAACAAGCGTGTTCCCTTACATGTGGAGAAAAGGTTTGGGGCATGGCGTCTCTGTAGCACCAAAACACTTTATTTATCAGAGTCTGTTATGACACATTTTACCTTAGTCAAAAATAATTGCGAAAACAAAAAAAAACATATTGCAATTATTTTGAAAGATATTGTGATTTCAGTTGGAATGATCGTTTTTCCGTTTTCATTTTCATTGAAAAAAAATGTTTTTATGATGATGTGATTGTTCGGGGCCTTGTACTAAACAATGTATGTCGGGGCATCTCTGTATCACCACAACGCTTACGGTCATATTGCAATTTCGATTATATTTCGATTAATTGTGCAGCCCCACACTATGATGACAGCTGTTGGACCTTCTGTTCCTTCAAAGGTCTGAACTGTCTGAACAATTTACTGTTGGTGAACACTGTGACTTTTTGTGTCAAAGCTGAACTGTGTGCAACAGCAGCTCGTGAATTCACTTCACCTGTCTATGTGAAATGATTCTGGTGATTTACAGAAATGAGCTGAGTACTCACAGTAATGCTGCTGACATTTGAACTTATTGCTGTGGCTTCTAACTGCTCACACTATTTTTTTGTGTCAAGGTGGTTTCTTATTACTTCATCAGGAAGTACTTACTGCACTGCAGTTAGTTGGAAGAGAAATGAAACACATATTTAGGCATTGCTTGTATCTTCTCTGAACAGAAGACATAAATAATTGTCACTTATGACCAGACTCATCAGATTTGAACGACCATTATTCATAACATACGAACCTAACTTGAATTTAAATATGTTATTACCCATACGTATAATGCCTACCTCCTCCCTGTGTCGTCCTGTCCCACTGCGGTCAGACCCAGGTCTCCCTGCCAGCAGTTCTGGGCCAGGCTACCGCCACTGTCTCGCATTATCCACGGACAACCCACGACCTGCGCCAGCTCGTCACCTGCAAACAACATACACATTTACAGTGCGGCTCTAAACATACAATCAGCTCACAAACTGGTTGAGAAACTAATTATGTTGTAGGTTTGGAGATTAGTCTGAGGTGTCAAACAGAGCAAGCCACTCTACCCTCTATATAAATGCAGCTTTGTTTAGTTATCTTGCGGTGAGAGGGAACATTGCTTTGAACAAAGTTGCTCCACAGTGATCCACTCTCACTCAACACCGCTCATATTTCCTATTTAAAAATTCAATTGAGCCATATTTCTAATCCACAATGTATATCACTGCATTTCTGCACCATGAAGATACCACATATCACTTTGTAAAACATTATTCAAGCTGCATTTATATACAGCATAGCTGAAGACCTGTCACTAGTAATGTTTTAGCCCCATCTATGATCTCAGCGTTCCAGATGTTACTCTTGTGTTTCGGTCTCACAGTGCTGCCAATGTAAACTTTGGGGGAAATGTGACTCCTAATATTGTACCCCGTTATAAACAGTGGATCTTCAGACGTATTTTGGACTGTGAAGATATCTCCTGTCAGCCTGGAAGGACAACACATGCATCCAGGTCAAAACCAACATTTTGAATCCAAAATGTCCACAGACTGTGGCTCGCCACAGGTTGGGACAGCGGGTTAACATATGTCACACAGTTCGGTATTGAAGCACTGCAGGTCAATATCTGATCACACTCTAGACAGAATAACAACAACGTCCCTCTGAAGTTGTCAAGTCCTGCTGGACATCAGGCAGCAAGGTGCTAATCTTTCAGCACTCACTGGTATAAAAACACACCACTTGCTTTCCAGTGACTGGCACAACTAGCGGGAACCTGCAGGCACTTTTTTCCCATGAAATAGACAGGAGGCAGTCAATGTTAATGACCTCTGACCCTTCCAACAGAACACTAATGTGTTATTTTCACAAAACTAAGGAAGCTATTTTAATGGTAGCTTTTTAAAAATGGTCTGGTTGTACTAGCTAATGAGACAGAGTGCAACAACACCGGACTCTTTTTACCAATGTGCACTGGTCAGAGTGCGGACATGTACCTTAGCTTGCTAGCTAGACTGAGTGGGTTTACTGTACCACTGCCCAGCTGGGAGAATAACTGGGCAGCTGGGAGAATTAGCATTTATAACAGTAAATACTTGCATCCTGTGCGAGGAAAGATCAGTTAGAGCTGCTCTATGGTGAGAACAGTTGTTTTCCGATGCAGGAAATAGTCACACCAGAGCTAGCTTGAGCGGCGACGAGCGCTAGCAACATCACCGCCAGTTTCACAATTTAATCCTAAATACAACTCACACCGATTGCAAACCTTCCGCTGTCAGTAACTATGGAAAGACAAAGCCACTGCACCACCATTGAGAACAATCTGTAATAACCAGACCTTGTCAGTAATCTGTTGTCTATCAATGCTAACATATTAGCTAGTTAGCCCATGTTGTCGTCAGCTTAGCTAAGCGTTAGTTTAGGCAGATTCCATGTTAGCAACAAAAAATGAAACGCCCGGCTTATGCATACCTTAAATAGCCAGGTGTTGCATGTGTGTGCTTT